CCAGAATACCGTCATTGCACGGACCTGTCCTTGTGCCTAAGTTCCAAGACTGCCACTTTCAGGCGGCACACTACTTGTGGCCGCCTGACACCGTCTCGGGATCCTCCTCCATGCCTTCCATGCGATCTGCCTCTTCTCCCAGGGTTTCCCACTCAGATTCCTCTTCTTCCGCTTCGTCGTCTTCTTCGTCGCCTTCTTCTTCTTCGTCGTCGTCGCTTTGCTCTCCCTCAGTGTGCTCGCTGTAACTTCCCTCTTCCGGGGTTTCTTCTTCTTCTTCGCCTTCCTCCTCGCCCTCTTCCTCCTCTTCTTCTAGCGCTATCTCTTCGTCTTCGGAGGCAGTTCGAGGCTGAAAGAAGGCGAGGTCGATTATCCCCCGGGGATCCAAGTATGGTTGTTGCGATGGCGGGTTGTTGTTGCCCTCCAACTTCTCGAGGCAAGCCGACCACTGCAGGTAGGGTGTCAAAGCCTGTGAAAAGACGTCCGGGACCGGGCTCTCGTCGCTCTGCGAGATGATGTCAAGAGGGAGATCGTCAACCAGCTGTGCGAGGGGAATCGTGAGTTCCTGAATGATCTGCTACCGATAGCCGGGACACACCGATCCGAATAGAAATCCGAGAAGGTCTCCTTCCGCCTCCGTCCTCCACGCTTGGATAATTAACAACTCCATGTATGAGACCCAAGCGCGGTGCTCTACATCCCTCGTCCACGTCAGCTGCACTCCGACCAGACACACTGAAAGATGGACGAAATGTTCGCACCACCATTCCCACTGTCTTCGATCGAGAAGTGGAACGACAAGTGGTTCTAGACGACAGGAGAGATGGGGGCAAAGGTCAGACTGCCAAAAGGTAGGGAAGAGAGAGGGGAGAGCGAAGGTAGAGAGTCGGGATCGGTTCATTGGGGACGGTGGAAAGGGACGAGCTCAGGAAGCACCACCGCGGGCTCGTGTCGAGACGTCCGGAGTCCTCCGATGTCGATGTCATCCACGGGGACAAGATTATCGCCGCGGTGCGTAAGCCACTGATTCCATTCTGCTGCCAGTTGATGTCCCCACTCCCTTAGTGACGTCCGGATGGGCGTATGTCGCAGAGGGCTGATTGCGCTGATGTTACCGCTGAAGACGACAGCGGTGGATACATGGCTAATTCCTGATGCTGACAACCGTCGAACCGCCGTCGCCTCTGCCAGTACGATCGTTTGATGATGGTCGGTGAATCTGAACTCTGTCGTTGCGTGTACCCCGGTAGTGCTGAAGAACTGCGCGAGCCGTAGGAGGTCCAGACTGAATCGCGGATGATGAACTTGTTGAATTGCCGAGATGTCGCCACGTGGCGCCAACATGTGATCGTCGAGAGCCCGCTCAGTGAGAAAACTCATGGCGATGGCGATGAGGACGGAGTAACGAAAGCAGGAGGGGACGAGAGCGATAAGGAATCGTCTTCCTCTTCCGTAGCGAAGGAGGGAGCAGACACGGCTGGAGATGGAGAGGAAGGGAGAGGACGTAGATCGGACATGTGGCACACGATCGGTCGAGCCGATAGACTTCCCAAGACCTCCGGCACGAGGCCCACGTTGTTCACCCCGTTCAGGCCTAGTTCGATCACATGAAATCGCCCGAAGAATCGTGGCGCTATCTTCCCTTGGCGAGCACATTTCCTCACCTGCACCAGGTCCCCTAATTTATACTGGGGCTGTGGTCCTGCGTTCCCATTTCGGGCCTCGTAGCTATGGACCTGTCGGTCGTGGGCCAACTCAATCATTTTCTGGCGTTTTCGGGCTAATCGGGGAAGGGACGTTCCATCAGCTCCATGTGTCGCTTGGCCTTGTCCCAAACCGTGGCCCTTGTGGGCCGTCGGTTCAATAAAGATTCGTCGGGGAGGCTCGGTATCAAGACACAAGCTACGCTATTGGTTCGTAATTGGAAGGGGCTAAGGCCTGTCGATTCGTGAGGCGTTCCCCGATGGACCGCCAAGATGTGATCTACGATATCGGGCCAGGGCCTCGGATCCCGTGCCGCAATGTTTCGTCGTAGTGCTGTCTTTATCACTCGATTTGCGTTTTCTACCAGGCCGTTAGATTGTGACATGTGGGGCGCAGTGTTCCGAATAGCGACGCCATGTACGGCTTGATTCCTTAAAACTTCCCCTCTGAATTCTACCCCATTGTCGGTCAGGATTTCCTCCGTGTCCTAGTGCATCCCTGGAAACCGGTTGACGTATCGCGCAATTTCAGCAGCTTGTTGCGTACGACACGAATATGCCTCGATCCATTTCGAAAAGTGGTCTACGAATACTAGTAGGATTGAATACTCGCAGCTATTAGGTCCAGGGGGCACCACAATATCGGTAGTATCCATGCTAACCCTCTGAAACGTTCATTCGACTACCGTCGGTAATATCGATCTCGGCGGCTGGATCGGCGCGTTGTCAGCAGCACAGACCTGGCAATTTACGATGATGAATTTCACATCATCATGAATATTGGACCAATACCACTCGTTCTTGTCGATTGCCGCTTCGGTGATCCGCACGGCAAAATGGGTTGTCGTTTCCTCGTGCACCGTCTTAACCTAGTCATACCTCATGAACGGGTGCGACACTACCATCCAAATCCCGCTACCATCCGTCTTCCGTCTTTCTAACCGGCCCTCGTTCCAACGATAATCCCGAGCTCTATCATTGGCTCTCCTCTGGTCTTCCTTAGTGAAGTCCTGGAGGGGGTTTCTTACCAAGGTGACAATTAAAGCGATGTTCGTCCATACCTCGACCCTTCTAAACTTCCGGGTCTTTTCCAACCCTTCCGACGTGGCATCGAGAAATCGAGCTTCAGTCGGGATCTTATCAGTTCGACACAAGGGACACAACCAAGGCTTATCGCCATTTCAGTACTGGATGCACGAGCCATAGGCTCATGCGACACACTGTCGACAATCTACCCATTCCGCATACCCTTCCCCACTAGGACGCATTGAGGTCGAGTAGATACGTGAGATCGCTTCAAAAAAATAACAAAATTTGTCGGGCAGGGAGAGAAAAGATGAAGATGAGAGGGGAGAGAGAGGAGTTGTAGGATTACCTCTGTCACCCATTGCCAATCATTTGCTTCTTGCTACGTGGAAGGACTGCCACCTGTCCGTATTTGGGTCTGTTCGCTGACTCCGGTTCCTTCCACGGAATGATTTATTCGCCCTTTGGCACCTTAGCGGGGCGATGCAGACGTGTCAACCCATCCGCGTTGTCGTGCCTCTCTGTCTTTCGATGGATGATGTTGAAATCGTATTCTTGTAGGCGCACAACCCAGCGTCCAATCATGACCGTGTAATTAGTTAGCTTCTTGAGAGCCAATAATGGCTCATGATCGGTTACAAGGAGGAACTTCTGTCCATACAAGTACGGATGGAAGTGCTGAATTCCCCAGACTACAGCATAGCATTCTCCTTGTGGGGTTGAGTCGTTCCTTCGTTCGTCTGGCACCGTATGAGACGCGTACTCGATGACGTGCTCTCGACCGTCAGTCCCTTTCTACGCTAAAATATCGGAAATCGCCTCTGGCTGCCAGTCTGTGATGAGAATGAACTGCTTCGTAGGGTCCGACCGGATCAAAATAGGTGTTGTTGCCAGAGCGCCTTTGAGGTGGCGAAGGCCCGTTCGCACTCGGCGTCCCGACTGAGGGGCTGGTCCTTTCGTAGCAGATTCGTCAGAGGTCGCATAATCGCAGCGAAGCCTTTGATAAAACGACGGTAGTACGATGCCAGTCCCAGGAAAGCTCGAACCTGCGTCACTGACGTGGGGTCAGGAGCATCTTTCACCACTGCGACTTTTTTCGAATCTGGTCGCAGTCCTCCGCGTGTCACCACGTACCCTAAGAACAAGATTTCCGAGAGGAAAAACTTGCTCTTTTCGAGTGTCATCTTGAACTCTGCGTCTCTCAGAGCTCCCAGCGTCCACTCGATGTATTGTGCATGCTCATGATAGGTCTCCGAGTAGACGAGGATATCGTCCATGTACATGATGATGCAAAAGTTGATCATCCCCTGAGTGAGCCGCGTCTTGTTGACGAAGTTATGAAATGTCACGTTCATCGCCCGCTGAAACGGGGCAGGCGCTTTGCAAATACCCATCGGACACCGGACCCACTGCCACATGCCTTCAAACAATACAAAGGCCGTTTTCGAAAATTTCGGTCGATCTTCCTCCTTAACCAGAATGTGATGGAAGTCGTGACGAATATCAAATTTACTAAAATAATTAGCACAACCAATCGCATCCAGCAAATCGTCAATCCTGGGAAGGGGGTACACATCTTTAATCGTAATGTCATTCAGCTTGCGATAATCAATGCATATGAGAATCGATCCATTCTTTTTTGACACTAATACTACTGGGAATGACCATGGTCCGGTGGCGGGTTCGATCCAACCGTTAACTTCAAGTTCTCGAATCCGCTCAAGGGTCGTTTTCCGTTCTACCAAGGAGTATCTGTAAGGCTTACAGTGGATCGGGGGATGGTTTCCAGTTTGAATTTCATGTTGTATGACCAACGACAGTCCAATGCCTGTGTCCGTCAGACTAATCGCTCATTTGTATTCTTTTATAATTTACGGGATTAAATGATGGATTTCATCAAATACGTATTGGGGCACGTGCAACTCGTACAGCTCATTCCATATCCGTACATCGATGTGTTTCATACTTACCCGTTTAGCGCTTTCGGGTGGGGGCACGAAAATAAACGAATTATCCGAACGCCAGGAGAATACCGTGACCATCATCTGGGCATCCTGCTCCCGGATGGCCTCGTCTTCTTCCGGTGTTATTCCGTCTCGAATGTCCTGCCAAGGTACTGGTTTAGTTGCAATTTTAATTCCGAGTCTAGTTTCAAGGCGATCAGGGGGTTCCAAAGAATTGGTCTCCGCCCCTAAGCGTATCAATTGTATCTCTTTCGCAGACGTCAAAAGAGATCGTGGGAGATTTGTGATATCACAATAGTGTCTTTTCAACTCTTTTGTAATTGTATCGTGCGAGTAGAGGGGAGATACCTTCATCGAGGGGTTTCAAAGGAATCGACCATCCTCGAAATCTGTATGAGGGGTTCACCCATAATCATAGCTTGCGTTCTTTGTAGACTCTGATTAGTCAGGCTTAGCGATTTTGTGTTCGCTCGTTGCATAGGGTAATAGATACGTTGTTGTGCCATCTCCAGGATCACCGGATCATCCTCATCACTGCTGTCCGTATCCTTTGACGGTTGCCCGTCATCTGCGGAATTATCCCAGGTGATCACACGGAGGGTTTTCGCCATCAGGGGGGAAACTCGCGAAGTCACGGTAGTGGTGGTACGAAGGGTCAACCTCATCGGTACAACATAAGGTTTTCCTCCTGTACTTCGGAGGACAATTGATCGTTTTTCGAAATCCAGATGGGCTCGCAAGGCCACAAGAGCGGGAGGGCCAAAAATGACGTCGTAAGTATTCACGTCTAAGACTATGACATCTCTCAAAGCATATACCTTCCCTAATCGAAAAGCAACATTGGTCATTCGTCGCACAGTTTTAGTCTTCTCCTCATCTGCTGAAACGAGTTGATCTTTTTCCGTAAGCATGATTAGATCATTCTTCCTTCCTGCTCTTTCAACTACTCGTAGCGAGATAGCCAAAACAGCGGTTCCCGAATCGATAATGACATTATATGGGATTCCCCATATCTCGATATCACATTCGGCGGATTCCCATGGGATCGGCTTAATCCGTAGGAAGTGATCATCTTTCTGGATTAATCCTAATCGTATCGGGTCTCAAGTTCCTGCTGCATTTTCATCTGGCGTGGGACTTTTCGCTTTTGTGCTCGCTGTTCGGGCAAGGGCGAATTGTTTTCGATTCGCTTTGCAGTGTTGCAACATTCGTTTATTGGTTTGTTCCGATATCGAAAGCAGATGACCGATCGGAAGGGGAATCCGATGGTCCAAGGCTCGAACAATGTTTAGAACATCGATTTCCCCTGTGACCAAGGTGGGTCCTCCCGACTCCATTTTTCCTGGAGAAGGCCGCCACTCCGCCACTTCTCTCTGTTCTGGCGCGGGTCTAATCGTTCCAATCATCCCAAGCCCTGGGTAGCCAAGCGTTACATACTGATCCAACGAAATTAGTTCAGCAGCTTCCTCCATCGTAGCTAATGTGTTTTCGCCTCCTTCTATTTATTCCATCAATGCCCCTACTCATCCGGGTCCGTTGGCGACCGGGGCCGCTGCTACCGGTGCGGCTCCGACTCGTTGCTGCGGGGGTCGATGAGGGCAATCTCGGGCTATATGCCCCGGTTGGTGACACGTGTAATAGACGTTCAGGTTGTCAGGGATCCCTGAGGGAAGGGGTGTCGGAGTTAATCCGTGTTGAATCGGGGCGGCACGCACCGCTATTGGACGCATCGACCTCATCATTGTCTCTATTCGAGCGTTGTGTAACTTGTGTTCCCGGTGTTCCTTTTTGCTTTCCTGAATCAGAGTAACCAATGTCTTGGTTAGTTCTAATAGAGCGGAAGACTCATTCGGTCCTGCGGGGGTTTCGAAAGGCGATGGGGGTGCTGTCATTACGCCCGGGCACGTTCGAAATCACACTTGGGACCGGTCGTTGGGACTAATCTGTTCTAGATAGGTGACAGGGCCCGACACAAACCCCATATTTTCAAATTTGTTCTACAGTGCTGCCAACTCCGGCTTAGCCCTGTGCCTTGTTGTCATCATACTGCTGAGCCCGGAGCGTGGCTAGCCATGCTCCAGCGAGGTGATGAGCAGGGTTGAATAGATAAAGATCGGGTGGTGTCATGGGAGCCCGTGCTCGTGGTACGGGTTGATTAGGATTCTGTTGGGGATTTGGGTTTTGTTGGGGGTTCTGCTGATTAGCATTCATATTGATCGTCCGTCGAGCCGCAGACCGGTTTTGGGCGACGACGGGATCACGTCGGTGCGCGTTCCGGGGTCGAGGTCGTCCCCTGTTAGCCAGATCGCCCAGCTATGAGTCCTAGAACCCTGCCACATGTCGGGCTCTGATACCAACCTCACGCCCAACCCGACTTCCTGATTGGAGTGGGATGTGGGCCTGGAAGTGCGAAAAGGGGTGTGCCAAAGAGTTTTGGGAAAGTGGGGGTGGAGTGACTGGAGTCCCAGGTCGGAACTGAGATCTCCTGTGGCAAAGTTCCAGGGGCATAGATGCAATGGGGCTAAGGGGGCGAGTTTCTTCCGGTCTGTTAGCGTTTGATGTCGTGCAGCATAAGGCAGATGGCATACACGGTGCATTCAAGGCCGTCCAATCCGTCTATTTTGGTGGCGGCGGTTCGGGGAGAGGCCTCCCCGGGATGGCTGTGATTCCGATGAGTCGGGCCCTCGGGTGCAGACACGTGGCGTCTGTCGCCGCACGTTTTGGTTAGGCCCTCTAGCTTCAGGGGCTCGTCGGTTGCCGCGCCGCCGACAATTTCTGCAAGGCGTGCGGGGCCAATACGGGCCGATGGAATTCCACGGAAACACTGTGAGTTGGTGATACGGGAGGAGGAGACGGAAGGGAGGGAAACGGGTACTAATAACGACGAAGCTGGGGGATATGAAGTATTGTGTGTTGTCCGTAGTGGGGAAATCAGGGCACCTAGGATCGCTGGTAGTGGCACAGTGAAACTCCCTGGGGCACAATCGATTCTCGGTTAGGCAAGGGAATTCCGGGTATCTTTGCCTAATGCATTCTCTCACCCAAGGGTCGAAGTACTCCGAGTCCCAGGAACTCGGCATCTTATCATTGCGGTGTGATGGAATTCTTCTGCACGCGCCTAACCTGCAAGGGGATTTTCCGATGTGATATTCTGAACTCCTATCCGTTTAGGTGCGTGGGGGAAGGAAAATTCCCGCCTACCCGATATCGAAGATGTCAAGTCCGTCAAGGGTCGCGAATCGGCGCGCATGGATACGTGTAGGCTGCGCAGATCAGATTGCGCTTACACACATCCCCTCGAGGTATTCGCTTGTTTCTGGACAAACAACTACCCAATCATTTGATCACTCCGTGATCCCGTACGCAATCGTGTCTGAGCATGCAAGGTGCTATTACACGTCAGGCATCGCAACAACAATAGTGGCTAAAAAAAAGGATAACCAGCAATGGAAGCAGTATTGATGACTACGCAAAAGTTCCTACTATGCTTATGAGTGTATCAAAAACGACAAGCAAAGGCAAGGACCAGACAAAAGAAAAGCAACAGACATGACATTCATTCATCCATTCATTCGACAAAACACACAACAAACGAGATCGAGATCAATCGCAAAACAAACCAAGATTCAAAAAAAAAAAAAAAAAAACGGGCGAGTCGCCTGAAGCCGAGATCAAAACATATATACAAAGGCAAAGAGGGAGAAAAGACAAAGAAAACTGCAAATCCACGTCCATCAACCTCAGCTCCCTCTTCCTTTCTCTCTCTCTCTCCGATGCCGACAGTCCGTCGGCACGCACCAACCCACGAAGTCGTCACCTTACGTAATCCTCTTGCACCCGTCAAGTTCGCCCTCGCGCTACAGTCTGCCGTAGCCCCACGCGTCAACCCCGCGCATTTGGCACCAGCTCGTCGGGTCGCCCGACTCCCACTTCAACTCACCTCTTACTTCGCTCGTGAGCCGACCCTCACTGATCGCGCTACCCCGAGCTTCCAACAGCTGGTTAAGTGAGCTATCTAATCGCGCAGCCAGAATTTATAGAGTGCATGCATGCGCGAAGAACACGGAATCGCAAGGACTTAGAAAGGAGATTAGGAGAGGGAGCGCCTATGTTCTGCATGGCCAGACCTCGACGTGGGGGACGTAGCCAGTCTCCACACATCGATCCGATCATGCAGGCCGCGGGCTAATTAGGCACAGCAAAAGGGAAAGGGAGACCGAGAAAGACGAAGCTCAAGAAGAAAGATACGATTATAATGGCGCCCGCCCAAAAATTACAGTTACGTGTACGATTAAGGGCGTCGACTAATAAGAGTTTCGTTGTAGCCGCAAAAAGAAGCGCGCAAGAAGGACAGCGTGCGGCAAAAGAAATTCTAAATTTCTAAATTCCTAGCTAATGCAAAAAGAAGCACAAATTCCGAAAAGAAAATCCGAAGTTCCGAGAGCCGTCAAGGGTTGGACAAGATTCGAAAAAGAAATTCAAAAAGAACGAAGCAAAATTTCTGCGCGACCTCCGCGCCTAAAAAACCGACAATAGAACATG